TTTCTTTGATTTACTTCTTGAAAGGAATAAAATATTAAGTCATGTTAATAATTTAGTTTCCTCTGTTTTTTTTATTTTTTATTTTTTGTTTCATGTGGATGTTGGGGATCCAATCAGAGGGTAAGTATCTTTTTACTTTTATTCAATGCATCAGGTGTCACTTCAATTTGTTTTCAACCAAACTACTTTTTGTCCATTTGCTTAGTGGCCTTCTGTCTGGCTGTCTTTGTTAAATTTCCTTTTCCTTTGGAAGTTGGGGAAGAAATCAGGTCGTAATTAGTATTGAATGCAGCACATCATTTTTTTGTGAACCAAATTACTGACTAAATATATAATGTTTTATAGGCCGTTTCCGAATTACCTTTAGCCTCTTTCTCAAAGCGGTGCCCATCCTTTCATATGAATACGAGATTTCATCCACAGGCAAATTAAACTCATTTTTAACGAGTGATAGCTAGCATAGCGTAGCTAGAATGACTTGTAGCAGTTAGTTTAGGAAGAAATAATTCACTCACTCGGTCTGTCATTCAGTCAGTTAGTCAGTTGATAGGTCGCAAACAATTTTTGGGTGGTAATTTCGCTGACCAGGGTATTTCACGAGAGGGCCAACCATTGTGAACAGAATGGCTACCAAAGCGATAAGCTGATCTTTTGCGTTTGTGCTTCCAAATTAAAGACTATTTGGTATGCAGCAAAGGTGGTTGTAGAATTCGATCGATGAATAGCTTTGTCATCAGTTTTAACCAAAACTTTGCCAAAAATTACTTGCAAGGGTTTCACTCGAGAAGTGCTTTTTTTTTTTCTGTGAAGAATTATTTCAAATTTCCACATCGTCTCATTTTTAGTTTGGAAAGTATTATTTTCCAAGTTGTAGTGGTGGCACGATTTCACTCCATCACTCCTTCACTCCTTCACGTTCTCTCTAACATTTGGAAACCTGGGGGGAAACTCCCTTATGAAAAAGATGGGGATTCTCGTCGGAAAAATTTGAATTTAACTCCTAAAGGAGACTAATGTGGGCATT